CGCAGAGCATCAAGAGGCACCGTGATGCCGTGCACGTCGTCACGCCATGCGTTCGGGGGCCCTGTCCTGCCCCAATTGGTCCTTCGTCCTCAACACGAGGAGGAGGAGGAGGAGGAGGAGGAGGAGGAGAAGGGAAAGGAGGACAAGGAGGAGGAGGAGGAGGAGGAGGAGGAGGAGGAGGAGGAGGAGGAGGAGAGGAGGGTCGGTTACGTCCCGTCCTTATTTCTACCCGCCCCTCCCTCCCATTCCTCCTCCCCGGCCCTTCCACTCGTCCTCCTCTCTCTCTTCACAGTCCCCATTCCCCTCCCATGGTTTTTCTTTTCCTCCATCCTTCTCCCCTCTCAGCATTATCCTCCTCTCCCTCCTCCTGCACCTCACTCTTCCCTCCTCGTCCGTCATTGTCATATTCTTTCGCCCTCTGGTCCAGTTCCCACCTCCCTCTACTATCCCCTCAAGTCCATACCAGTTCCATCCCCACCCCTTCATATCCATCCATCTGCTCAGTGCCTGCATGACGCTTGCTGATATTACACTACACGTGTAGATGATGCACAGGAGCATCCTTAGTCATTTTTTTTTCTCTCTCTCTCTCTCTCTCTTTCTCTCTCTCTCTCTCTCTCTCTCCCTGTCTCGTTCTGTCCCTCCCTCCCGTGCTCGGTCTCTCTCTCTCTCTCTCTCTCTCCCTGTCTCTCTTGCGCTAGTCCTGTCTTGCCTGTTGTTGTTCCTCCTCGTGTTGTGTTTATCTGTCTCTCTCTCCCCCTCTGGCTCCATCTCTCGCTCTCATTTATCAGTATGTACATGTTCTTGTGCAGTCCTGTATCCATATACCCCATGGAACAATTACCCTGGCGAAGGACCCAACCAGATGCAGTTGTGAGTAAGTACCGTCGTTGCGGACATCGCCTTCGGATGATCTCCTCATAGGTGCCATGAAGCATGCGAAGGGTGTGCCGATATGGGGCGGAGCCGCCATGTGGGCGCTGTGAGTGAAGTTTTCGGCAGAATCCACGATGTGGCCGCGAAACGTGTGGGGGGTGTGCCGTAATGGAGCCTTCGGTGGAGCTCCTTATGGGGCCACGGAACGCTGCATTGCGTGGGGGAAACGCATGCGGACACTGACTCTGGGGTCTTCGGTTGAGCTTCCTATGAGGCTACAAAGCGCTGTACCGGGCGGGAGAAACGCATGCGGACACCGCCGCTGGGGCCTTCGGTGGAGCTCCCCTATGGGGCCACGATGTACTGGATGTCGGAAACACATGCGGACACCGCCACTGAGGCTTTCGGTGCAGCTCCCTATGGGGCCACAAAGCGCAATACTGGGTGGGGGAAACGCATGCAGACACAGCCAATGGGGCCTTCGGTAGAGCTCCCTATGGGGCCACGACGCTTTGCACTGGGTATTGGAAGCGCATGCGGACACCGCCACTGGGGCCTTCGGTAAAGCTCCCTATGGGGCCATGGAGCGCTGTACTGTGTGGGAGACACGCATAAGAACACCGCCATTGGGGGCTTCGGCGGAGCTCCTCAAGGGGCCACGGCGCGCTGTGCTGGGTGGGAGAGGCGCATGTGGACACCGGCACTGCGGCTTTAGGTGGAGCTTCTCATGGGACCACGAAGCGCTGTGCTGAGTGGGAGAGGCGCATGTGGACACCTCCACTGGGGCCTGAGATGGAGCTCCCCATGGGGCCACGAAGCGCTGTGCTGGGCGGTGGAGGCGCATGTGGACACCATCACTGGTGCCTCAGGTGGAGCTCCCCATGGGACAACAAAACGTTGTGCTGGGTGGGGGAGGCGCATGTGGACACCGCAACTGGGGCCTTCGTTGGATCTCTATATGGGGCCACGAAGCGCTGTGCTGGGTGGTGGGTGAGGGGTGGGGGGGGGCGCATGTCTATGTGGCCACGGAACGCTGTGCCCGATGGGGGAGACGCATGCGAACACCGCCGCTGGGGCCTTCGGTGGAGCTCGCTATGGGGCCACAAAACGCTGTGCTGGGTGGGAGAGGCGCATGGGCCTTAGTTGGGGCTCCCTATGGGGCCAAGAAGCGCTGTGCTGGGTGGGGGGGCGCACGTCTATGGCGCCACGGAGCGCTGTGCTGGGTGGGGGAGACGCATGTGGGCACCGCCACTGGGGCCTTAGGTGGAGCTCCCCATGGAGCCACGAAACATTGTGTTGTGCGAGGGAGACTCATAAGGTCACCGCCATTGGGGCCTTCGGTGGAGCTCCTCAGGGGGCCACGAAGCGCTGTGCTGGGTGGGAGACACGCATACCGCCACTGCGGCCTCAGGTAGAGCTGCCCATGGGACCACGAAACTTGTTGTTGGGTAGGAGAGACGCATGCGGACATCGCCGCTGGCCGTAGTTGGAGCTCCCTATGGGGCCACGAGTCGACGTGCTGGGTGGGAGAGGCGCATGTGGACACCGCCACCGGGCGCTTAGGTGGAGCTCCCTATGGAGCCACGAAGCGCTGTATTGCGTGTTGGGAAAGGCATGCAGACACCGCCAGTGTGGCCTTCACTCAGTGCTGGGTGGTGGAGACGCATGTGAAGGCCGCCACTGGGACCATAGGTGGAGCGCCCCATGGGGCCACGAAGCGCTGTGCTAGATGTACTGAATTGTTGCCGATGGTGATGGCGGTGGCGAAGATGGCTGTGGTAATGAAGCTGATTACGCCGATGATGTTGATGATGGTGGTACAGATGATGCTGATGAGAATGATGGTGATGATGCTGCTGATGCAGATGCTGATGCTGATGCTGACATCGCTACTACTGATGATGAGTGATGAGGATGACGATGATGATGATGATGATGACGATGCTGATGATGCTGATGAGGATGAGGATGATGCGGATGATGATGGCGGTGGTGATGGTGGTGATGATGATTATGATGGTGGTGACTCTGATGATGGTGATGGTGATGACGATGATGGTGGTGGTGGTGATGGCGATGATGAGGAAAATGAGGATGACCAGTGTAAGCCCAAGAATCACCAACGATGTTGGAATCCACCCTCCCTCCAAGCCCTCTCTCTTCATAGGCCCCTACAACCGTTAATTTCCGCTGAAGGGATTGCCTCGTTGGAAAACAACCGTTTGAAGACCATAAAGCATGCCAAAACATTATTCTCGGGGCTCAACGCCACGGAACAACCTAACTGTTGCGTCCTGACGATCCTGAATCGCGCCAGAACGCCATTCTTGGGATTTCACAGCACCGCGAATCAATATGCTTGTGGCACCCTCATAATTCTGAACGTGTCCTTAACAACATTTCTGGTTCGTTGACCATGTGGATCCGTGAAATTGTTACATTTTGTTTGCACAAGTGTGCGCGGCGCTAAGGCGAGGGCCACATTTTGAACACGAGCCGCCCCCAGTTCGTGAAATTCTTACACATCTAAATCGAAGATCCGCGGCGTTAAGGCGAGAGCCACCTTTTGAAAACGAGCCGCCCTGAAAGTCTTCGAATTTCTAAATGCGAATGTGCGCAGCGCTAAGGCGAGAGCCACATTTTGAAAACGAACTGCCCTCAATCCGTGAAGCTCTGGTGAAGTGATACAATGAATGTGCGCAGCGCTAAGGCGCGAGCCGTATTTTGAAAACGACACGCTCTCAATCCGCGAAGCCCTTGCAATTGTCTAAAGCGAGTTCGCGCGGTGTTTAGGCCATTTTGAAAATAACCTGCCCTCAATCCGTGAAGCTGTTGCCACTTTGTAAGTTTCGGGGTCATAAATGGTGAGAACGTCTCAGGCAAATTGCCCGGCCCGCCCTAAAAAACAGGCTTCGGGGTGCGACAGGAAGAATTAATTTACAAGGAAAAGGAATCCAGGATGATGATGCTGATGATGATGATGATGATGGTGGTGGTGATGTTGATGATGATGGTGGTGGTGGTGTTGATGATGATAATGCTGATGATGGTGGTGGTGATGCTGATTATGATGATGGTGGTGGTACTGATTTTGATGAAGATGATGTTAATGCTGATCATGATGGTGATTATGGTGATGATGATTATGTTGGTGATGATGACGATGGTGATGGTTATGTTGATGATGATGATGGTCATCATCATCATCACCATCATGGTCATGATCATGCTGATGATGGTCCCGAGGTCAGTCGAAAGGGCAGGTCGGGCGCTTCGCGTGAGACCTGATTATTTACGATGTGTGACCCTGCAGCGCAAAGTTAAGCACGTTTTGCAGATGGAGGGGGGGGGTCTTTTCAAAATGTGGCTCTCGCCTCAGCGCCGCGTGCATTCGTTTATAATTGTGCAACTTCACGGATGGAACGCGGAAAGTTTTCAAACTTGTGGTTATTGTGTTAGCGCCGCGCGCATTCGTTTTACAAAATTACAAGAGCTTCCTGGATTGAGGGCGGCTCGTTTTCAAAATGTGGTTCTCGGCTGTGCGCCGCGCACATTCGTTTTTCTTCAAAGATGCAAGAGTTTCACGGATTGAGGGCGTCTCGTTTTCAACATGTGGTTTCCGTTGTGGCGCCGCGCGCATTCTTTTTAAACATTGCAAGGGTTCTGTTGTTTCCCATGGTCAGCGTACCAGAAATGGTGTTCTGGAAAAATGCAGGGTTTTGAAGGTGTAACAGTTACGTTGGTTCGCGGTGCTGAAGTCCCAGGAATGGCCCTCTGCCACGATTCAATACCACTTAGACGCAACAGTCAGGTTGATCCGTGGCGTTGGAGCCCCGATAATAATGATTTTGCATGCTTCAGGGTCTTCAAACGGTCGTCTTCCAACGAGGCAATCCCCCAGTGGAAATGAACCCCTGTAGGGGCCTATGAAGAGGGAGCTTGGAGGGAGGGTTTATGCCAACATCGTTGATGACCCTTGGGTTTACTCGGGTCCTCCTCCTGCTCATTCCGCGATTACCCCGCCCCACCCCGCCGCATCAAAGGGTGCCGACGCCGCCCAAGCCAGCGCGGTGCAATTGCAGCAGATGCTGGACCAGCAGAAGTCGCTGGCGTTGGAGGAGCAGGCGCGGCTGGCGCACGCCTCTTCCTTCTCGTCAGTATCATGTCCAACCATCCCCACCTCTCCTTCATGGTACCAGCGCCACCACAACCTTTTCCGAATGACGCCCATCACCATCTGGTGTTTTTGTCCGGCTTATCGCTATAGCCCCAATGTTTGATTCCATTCAATTTTTCATCTTGTCCATCGTCACCAACATTACCATCACCAACATCATTAACCTCACCAACATCATCAGCATCAGCATAAGCAATTGCCGCCGCGCGCTCAAGCCTTCGGTGACACAGCGGCCTCCTCATAACAGCCTTCCATTGTTCGTCAAGGGGCAGAGAGCACACTGCGAATGCAGCTCGCACGGATGTCAGCTCCGGAGGTGCGCATCGTGCGGCATGTTGACGCGTTGCATGGTGAGGCCGGTTGGGTAGGTTTCCCACAAGTGGGAGCAGCACTACAAGAACAAACCGCTGTTTATGCGCCACACATCAAGCGAGCACACCGAGCAGCAGCTCAAGCAGTTCGACGGCGCCGAGAAGAGAAAGCTGGTGGCGGCTGCTGACGAAGTTCTAGTGGTGCGGCGCAACCAAGACGAAAATGTGTACGACAACCACAAGATCGAAACCACAGGTCAGGTTGCCATCGTCGTAAAGGGAACTACCACCTCGCCTGCGCAACTTGCCGAGCGAAGCCCAACGCCAAATACCACTTCCAGTGCCACCGCTGCGACGATGGCAATATGCGCGTCGTCTTGCATACTGTCAAAGGGAGCTACTACTGCACTTGTGCCGCCAACGGAAAGGAGTCCAACATCGTATACATCATTGAGTACCGCGGCTGCGATGACGGCAGCGCGCGCATCTTCTTGCACGTTTTCGTTCCGCGCAGTTCGTGATCAAGCAGAAGGAAAGGAGTCCGAGAAGCCGCAGCAGGATGACCTGCAGGCGGCGCACGAACCGCGCACGAAACTCATTGACGAGGCGCGGGGGGGCGCACCCAAGGGCGACGTTGCCAACATCGCTGGGGCGGGGCAGTACCACGAGAGGCACTACGACGAGCCCTTCGCCGACATCATGCGATACGGAGTGCGCAATGCCACAGGAGGCACCACTACGAGCCCTTCGCCGAGACAGTGCGGCACAAAGTGGAACAGTACCACGGGGGGCGCTACGACAAACCCTACGTCGACATCATGCGCTGCGGAGCGGGGTTGCCCCGCAGGGGGCACTACGACGTGACCTTCGCCGACGTCATCCGCCACGGAGCGGGGCAGCACCACAGGAGGCACTATGACGAAGAAGCGTGCCGAAGGGCGCGCGCCGCCAGTCTCAGCAGCTTCTGTCCTCGCTTCTAGGCCAGACCCCCAGCAGCTGCCGACTCGGTGTCGGCAGGACGCGCGCAGCCAGTCTCAGGATACTCAATGTTGGAGTATGCCGCAGGGCGTGCGCCGCGAGTCCTAGGAGACTCAGAGCTGGAGCATGCCACAGGGCGCGTGCCGCCAGTCTCAGCAGCTTCTGCAACTCGAGGGTGGCAGGGCGCGCGTTGCCAGTCTCAGCAGACTCAGAACAGGAGCGCGCCGCAGGGCGCGCGCCGCCAGTCTTAGAAGACTCGGAGCTGGAGCGCGCCGCAGGGCGTGCGCCGCCAGTCTCAGCTTTTTCTGTCTTCTGGTCTGGGCCAGCAAACTCGGGGTCGGCAGGGCTGGCACAGCAGAATTCTGCTGCTTCATTCCTTGCGACTGGACCAGGCGGTCCAGCTGCTGCCGACTCGGGGCCGGCCCATCTTGAAGGGCCCGAATGCCCACGCGATCAGCTTTCGAATCCGCGATCAGCCTTCGGATCCGAGAGCTATCCAGATGCAAGCATGATTCCCCCTGAAAGAATTCGAGATGATTGGCCTCGCGACGGGGCTTTCATGGCCAGCGTGGGCCACGGTCTCTTTTCCAACTTCCGATCCCCCCGACGCTCAGCACGCAACGCGGGCATCGCCAGCTGTCATCGATTTGCCCAGGACTGCGCGCGCACGTGTGCAGCGCCCCGTGAAGCGCGGCTCCTAGCGAGCTCTTTAGGGAGCAATCGAGCTCTCTGCGACGGATCAGTTGTTTCTTTATAACTTGTTGCTCAACAGTTTGGTCCTGATGTCGAGGAAAATCATCATCATCATCACCATCAACACCATCACCGCCGCCACCATCACCATCATCAGCATGGTCATTATCAGCAACATCAACTTCATCATCCGCATCATCCTCCTTTTCTTCTTTATCATCACATCATCGTCGTTGGTGGCGTCGTCGTCAGCATGCGCATGTGCATCAGCATCCTGCTCATCATTTTCGTCCCGTGCCGCCCCTCCCCATGCCCTGAATTATCCGCGCCCGTCGCCGCCGCGCCGTTCCTCAAAGACACGCGTCGTGGACCGTGTTTATGGCTCCAGGCTCGCTCCGGCCAGAGAGGCGCACTCGTTGCCGATATCGTGCGCCCCTATTGTAGCACGATGCATGGGCGCCTCCACGTCTCTGTCTAAGGTGGATCAGCTGGCATCGCAGGGACAGGATTTCTCGTCGAGGAGCACCTTGGATCAACTTGCGCAGACATACACGCACGATACCGAGGCATGCACGGGGAATGGACGTCCGAGCGAAGGCGAGAGCAGAGGGCGCAGGAGGGGAGGAACAGGAAAGACCAGACGTCCTCGGGCTGCGGAAACATCGCGACGGGAGGTCTTGCACAATGACTGGCCTTTGGGCCTCACCGGGCCTCGGGACCGTCAAACATCGGGTGGGCGGTAATGGGGGGTGACCCAAGCGGTGGGTGAAGAAAAAGGCCTTAAGGGTCCTTTCAGGGACTCTTTTGGGCACCAGCTGTTTCCAAGAGGGGCCCTACCCTTGAGGGCCTTTTTCTTCACCCCCCATTTGGGCCACCCCCCATTACCGCCCGCCCGGAAAAAGCGATGTGGGAGGAACCGGGGAAGGGGTCCAGACCGCGGGGGAGCAGCGGTGCGGAAAAGTCAGTGAAATACAGTTGGCCCTGATCGCTAGTTCGGCCATGCCAAATCGAGGGTGCCTTTGTGTTCCATCCCGATTTGTGCAAGCCGCATGTCCGTTGGTGTTCTCGGGCCGCGTTGCCGTCGGAAGAGTCTCGTGTCCTCTCGAGTGTCCTGTCCAATCAAGTCCAACTGTAGTTCCTCCCGCCCCCGTCCCCTCCGCATAAGTCCCTGCAGGCATCCTATCCTTCTCGCTGTGACGTGATGGCGCGAGCAACATGCTGAAAACCATTCGCCCTCCATCTTCCTAACAGTTGGAAGCTAGTGAGACGAGTGTGCGCGGTGAGAAGGCGAGAGCCATATTTTCGAAACCAATTTGCCCGCCATGCGAAGAGATTTGTTCGTATGTTACGTTTGACTGTTTAACTCTGGGCGTTTCGCGCTTGCACCTTGGATAGGCGGGTGCCTTTCCGTCGTTGCCCCTGGGGGGGTCGCCCCCACCCTCAGGCTGGCTTCAAGTCGGGCGCGTCCCTCTACAGGAGGAGTATTCAGAAATAGTCAGAAAATCGTCTAGGGACGATTTGTTTACTTTTTAACAATTTGTATGTTTTGTTTGACCTTCTTTCCCAACCCTCTTGCGTTGGGTTTTCGTTTTGAATAGAGCACTGCTCGCGCGAATCTTCCTTCCTTCCTTCCCGCCCCCTCCCGTCCCTCTCTTCCCCCCTGCCTTCGCTCGTCGCTGCGTGCCAGCTGGGGGGCTGCGATCTGTGACACTGTCGCCACTTTCGAGGCCTGCTGGGGGGCCCAGCACAGTGGGTACCCACCGCGGCTAGGGGCTGCGATTTGTGAAACTGTCGCCACTTTCGAGGGCCGCTGGGGGGCCCAGCACAGTCTGCACTCGCGGCGGATTCAAATTAGACCTCGCCATCCCTGGGGGGCTGCGATCTGCGAAACTGTCGCCACGTTCGAGAGCTGCTGGGGGGCCCAGCACAGTGTGCACCCGCGGCGGATTCAACTTAGACCTCGCCATCCCTGGGGGGCTGCGATCTGCGAAACTGTCGCCACTTTCGAGGGCTGCTGGGGGGGCCCAGCACAGTCTGCACCCGCGGCGGACTCAAATGGGACCTCGGCATCCCTGGGGGGCTGCCATCTGTGACACTGTCGCCACTTTCGAGGCCTGCTGGGGGGCCCAGCACAGTCTGCACCCGCGGCGGACTCAAATGGGACCTCGCCATCCCAGCACAGTCTGCACCCGCGGCGGATTCAAATGGAACCTCGCCATCCCTGGGGGGCTGCGATCTGTGAAACTGTCGCCACTTTCGAGGCCTGCTCGGGGGCCCAGCGCAGTGGGTACGCACGGCGGTCTCAAATTAGACCTCGCCATCCCTGGGGGGCTGCGATTTTGAAACTGTCGCCACTTCGAGGCCTGCTGGGGGGCCCCGCACAGTGGGTACCCACGGCGGATTCAAATGGGACCTCGCCATCCCTGGGGGGTTGCGATCTGTGAAACTGTCGCCACTTTCGAGGCCTGCTGGGGGGCCCAGCACAGTGGGTACCCACGGCGGATTCAAATGGGACCTCGCCATCCCTGGGGGGCTGCGATCTGTGAAACTGCCGCCACTTTCGAGGCCTGCTGGGGGGCCCAGCACAGTGGGTACACACGGCGGATTGAAATTGGACCTCGCCATCCCTGGGGGGCTGCGATCTGTGAAACTGTCGCCACTTTCGAGGCCTGCTGGGGGGCCCAGCACAGTGAGGGCCACACGCAGATTCAAATTAGACCTCGCCATCCCTGGGGGGGTTGCGATCTGTGAAACTGTCGCCACTTTCGAGGCCTGCTGGGGGGCCCAGCACAGTGAGGGCCACACGCAGATTCAAATTAGACCTCGCCATCCCTGGGGGGTTGCGATCTGTGAAACTGTCGCCACTTTCGAGGCCTGCTGGCGGGGCCCAGCACAGTGACGCCTCCCAAGTAGCTTACACATCAAGTTGATTGTCCATACAAGTTTCGGCCAACTCCTCGTTTCC